AAAAAAAAAAAATTATTGTATTTTAAAGTATATAATAACTTAGACAAGTGTAAATTCGAATACTCCAAATCCCTGAAACTCAATGCATAAAAGTACATAAAGTTGACAAATAAATTGTGAAAACTCCATTTATATTATTCTCTTCTACATATAAATCTTTTGAGCTTATACGTTAAACTTGACTCATATTTTGGGAAGACTCCATTTATATTATCCTCTTACATATAATGTTTTCGAGCTTATACATTAACTTCTAGGGTTGATAATCCTATTAGTCGAATTATGATGTTTAATAATTTTATGTGTCGTTTTAAATAGAAATAATATATGTATATATATACATATTATTTTTGTAAGAATGTGGGAATATATATTTCTTGTATAAACACAAAGGAATGTACACCTATATAAAGATATAAAATGTGATATGAGATAACCATACTTGGTCGACTAGACTGGGAAAGCATTCGGATCGAACCGGTCTGATCATCGGGTCGAAAGGGAAGAGAAGATCGCTAGGTTTAGAGATCTCTGGTCGAAGGAAGTATAGAAGCTCAAGAAATACTAGAAGGTTGAGTAAAGGCGCCTTCAGAGAGGCTGGTCGAAGGTTAAAAGAAAGGGAGAACTGGTGGAACGATCGACCAGAAGGACCAGACATTAGAGCTCAGGGTCGATGACACTTTACTCAAAGACAACGGAGGTCAAGTCTGTGATCAGGACACTTAATGAGGAGAGCTTAGAGATAAGAAAGAATCTCCGGGGAGTCACACCCCTCACATGGGTGAAACCACGTGGCATCACTTAAGTGGTCCATGCCTTGTAATCACCTCTGACAGCCCATATGGCTCTGACAGTTTTGACAACCGGGGTAGCTCATGCGCTCGTTGGTGGAGAGCTCACGCGCCCGACTTGGGCTTTAAGGTATTCTCTCCCTATAAAAGGGAGCGAGAGAAAAAAACACACATTACATAAAAAAGTATGGTCCCACGCACATGAAGTGCACCATACGAGGAGTGGGCCCAAATGAAGCCCAAGCGAGATTCCATTCCAAACCAATTGATGGAAGGTGGATGAGCCCACTAGGCTTATAAATTAGGTTTATTTTCGTATAAACAATGTGTGATAGCTCACAAGTGGTATTATATTCTAATATGCCCCCTCACTTGTGAGTCCTTAATACTAAACCCAAGCCCAATTAGGTTGGGTAACGAAATACGTCATCGCCAGGACCCACGTAGGCCGACTCTGATACCATCCAAGAAACAAGGGAAAAAAAATACGATCCCACGCACTTAAGGCTCACCATAGCATGGTGAGCTTAATATTGCACCGTAGTGGGTTCCATCCCAAAACCAATTGGTGGAAAGATAATGAACCCACTAGCCTTATATATTAGGCCTACATTTCCTATATAAACGACCTCTGATACCAGAAAAGAAAATGGGGCAAAATGGTGCGGTCCCATGCACTTGAAGTCCACCATAACTAGGTGAGTTAGATGCATTCATAGTGAGGTTTCATCCCAAAACCAATTGGTAAAAGTAGGAGTAGTCCACTAGGCTTATAAAATGGACATATTTTCCTATATAAAAGATGTGAGACAAGTCAAAAGTGGTATTATATTCTGATATAGATCATGCCATAATCACAATAAAGAAATGAATGAAACGATGAATCACAAGTGATATTATATTCTGG